CAGATAATTAGTCAGACAACTGAGGACCTTGAAACTTGTCCAGGTTACATTTTCGCCAAGTCATATTGGTAGTATGATCCACTTTGTCTTATTAACTGATTGTTAATGAAGTTATTGATGTTGATTGTTGTTTCTGATGTGCTCTGTGTTACAGTTGTACAGAGCCAGAATGACTGGGGAGTGACGTACACTTCTACTACTAAGATCTGTGCCTTCAAAGGATCAACAGTTGATATGTCCTCCAAATATACATACCCACTCAAAACAAATGGCCATAAGACTAAAGTTGAGAGAATATTCTGGTTTACTGAAGAAAGTAATGTGGATCTAATAATGGACACAAACTATTCAGGTCATTTGACACATAGCTGTGGTGAGCCCTACTGCACTCTGAGAATCACAGACCTGAGAGAGAGCGACTCAGCTGAGTACAAGTTCAGGTTCATAACAAACCAACCAGGTGGGAAATATACTGGTTCACCTGGAGTCACTCTGTCTGTCACAGGTAACATTTTCATCTGAATATTTATTCATTTAGTTCCAAATGTTCAACATCTTATGAAGGTTACTGTGTTTCTATGTTGACAGTTCAGTCTAAAGTTAAGATTTCTGTTCGTTATTCACATATTCAGATCTCCAGGTGCAGGTGAGCAGATTACAGGTCTATGAGTCTTATAACTGGGCAGAGCTGAAGTGTCACAGCAGTTGTCTTCCACCTGGTCATCATTACTACGTCTGGTACAAGAATGGACAGAACATTTGGGGACAAACATCTAATTCTTATTCAGCCTACTTTTATCCTGTAGACAGTTTTTCCTGTGCTGTAGGAGGATATGAGAAGTCCCGCTCTCCTTCAGTGTGTGAGTTTACATCCAGTCTTCCACTGACATGACACCATCTGGTGGAGCCTTTAACCTATTGTACTGCACATTAACTGCATGTAACTCAGTGGTATTTGGTGATTCATTGTAGAACTGGATGAAAACCAAATCATTTCCCCATGAGATTGTAGACATGTTGCATAATTAACTCTTATTTTCTGTCTTCACTGTAAAATAACTCACAATGAAAACGTATTAAAACAAGATTTGTTATCTTGTCTTTAGACTGTTTAAATTCTTTGGATCAGATCAAACTTGTGCATCATCAGAGAAATTCCCTGATTATCTGTTCTTGTATCTTTAATGGACGCTTTTTAAAATGTGTTCTTCAGCAAAACACTTCATGGGTCCAGGTTTTAACTTATTCTGATCCATCCACACAAACACATGAGTGAAAAGAATGAAGTCAGATATTTTTAAGTGATTAGTGTTACAAGATCTGTCCAATCAAGTCAGAAAATGCCACATGTGGGAAAATCATGTCTGACACACATTTTCATTGTTCAATGCACTCATTTAGCTTATTTACCCACTAGAGGTCATCAGTAGACATGGTGGTGTCCAAAGACACTGAACCAGGATCATTTGCTTGGTCTCCTGTCTTCAGCACTGCTGGACTGTTGGACATTTTGAGTCTTCATGTCTGTGATGTTTATGTGCTTTAGGTTTTCTGTTGGATTTAAAGATAAAAACATCCTTCTATTTTGGTATTTCTAACATGTGCCTTATGTAAATCCACACACACACTTTGTTGTGTTGTATTACATTTTATTGTGAAGCACTTTGTGATTTTTATCTGTGAAAGGTGCTTTACAAATAAACTTTACTTACTTACTACACACACACAGTATACGCCATCTAACGAATGAAAGAAAATGATTAAGCAGATTTCTTACAGGACATAAAGATTACCTGTAAGAACTCTTCACGGCGCAGCACACCCTCCTCCACAGCGCGGCCGTCTCTTCCTCCATAAACGGAGCCTGACATTAGTGACTGGACCGTCGCCCGCCTCCAACAATTCCTCAGAGGGAAAAACATTCCCTCCAACCACAACATAGCCTCCAGCAATACTCAGGCAACAACAAACACCAGGCCTCGCACAATTCCGGTTCTCCGCCAGGGTCGGCCACGGCCAGTGGCATCACGCATGACGTCACCGCCTCTGCATCCTTCCATACGTTAAGGATACATGTCCCCAGCAATTAACTGAACTCAAGATCCCTGGTCCTGCCGGCCTTTTCTTGAAGTGTCAGTATTTACCAGATGTCATCTGCCTGTAATCCATCCAACCGTCCCAGTCTATCCGACATCCGCACCTCCGACCAGGGGCGGACTGGCACAATAATTCAGGCCGGGCGTTTGACTCCATCCCAGACCACCGCATTCACGCAAACCACCAAACCGCTAGTTTGTGGTCTAATCCCATTCCTCGACACAACTGGTATCAAACTGGGAAATCTTCGCTACCGCGTTCATCTGGATTTAGTCGCACGCAGAACCCGTTGCCACGGTTACAGCAGTGTTTTGCCATCTTTTCTAATGAGCACAATGACACCACCCACCCATACCACATAACTCGTAGCTAGCTACACAGGAGGGGGGCTGTTCCTCGTCCGAAAAGGTTTATATACACTCACACACAAACGCTAAAACACATGGCCACGTGCTAGATTAATTAATTACTGATCTCGCTATATTATATATTTGCTATATTGGACATTTCGCTAATCAGGCAGCTGGCCGTACCCAGCAATTTAACCCGGATACATACTGGAGCGTTCTCAACTCTTAATTCTACGGTCGCATCTATTCAGCTCGTACATCCCTCTCTTGCAGGTCATCGGAGCCCCTCACCCAGCCTCAGCATGCATAGGAAGCGCTCCACTCCCCATTCACGCCCCCTTTTTACTGACGAAACACCCCAGCGTTCACCGTTTCTCACCCGCCACGCCCCCATCTCACATCATCCCTAGGCCTGCAGACTCACATCCTTCTGTTAATATCCCAACGCTAAAGGGAACTGACAAACAGGGCAGGCCAGTTTTCATCAAGCGGGCAGGATGGTCTGCATTAATTCAAACACCGGGGCCGCACTCTTACACTGCAGGCTCTGCATGTCTGCTCCTTCTGCGTAGCAGCACTACTCCATCACACCAGCAGACTCCAGCGCTGCACCTCGGTATGATCATTTCAGTCGCAGTCCTTCCAGACACTCCTCACCCATGCCACGATCGCATTAGAGTTAGACTTCTAGACACCGAGTCCAGCCTTCCTTCCTCAGCACTCACAAACTTAGCTCGTCATCATAGCCGCCATCTTTGGGGGTTTCAAGGGTCTAGTGAGTCCACACTCATCCACCCAGATAACACTACACTGCAAAAACTGAGCTCTCAAAAACAAGAAAGAAAAGCATTAAAATGGGGGAAATCTTACTTAAAATAAGCAAAATTATCTGCCAACAGAACAAGAATATTTCACTTGCTACTTAAGGCCAAAAAACTTGAAACAAGTGAAATTCCTCACCTCACTCCTTCGCAGACTCATGAATATCGCTATACATCGGTTCATCCTCAGGGCAGCTCGCATTTCTGCCACCACAGGACCATTAGCAATCCATCCTTTCATCTCTTATTCATTTTCAGACACCGGGCCACAGCACCATACTGCATCTTCATCCAATACCAGTCTCACCGTTTCAGCCACGTCATTTTACCAGCTCTGCAGCTAAGAAACCTCTCTGACGCGTCACAGGAATCCATCCTCTACAGCATCTGCCCAAGCTTCTCATTAATTCAATTCAATCAGCTTTATTGGCACGAATGTATAACAACAATATTGCCAAAGCTACAAAGCTCTCAACATACCAACTGCCCAAATCGCTTAAAAGCATCACGTCACCTTTCATCAGACATTCTCCTCTCAGGACCTCACGTCCAACCGCAATTTCAGCACAAATGCTCTTTCAGACCAAGTCTGTTCCTCCGCTATGACCCAGGCTCGAGGAACTCAAACCCGACCTTAATCTGACTCTTCTGGGGGCTTGAAATAAACTTTTCCGAGACGGAACCCCCACACTAAGTCTCTCTGCCCGGTCTTCTGTACACCCCTTCAGGCCAGCAGCCTATCAGACGACATCCTTCTTCCACCATCACCCTTCCCCTCTATATGCATTAATCCATCCTCTATAATCCATGCATTCCGTATTTGCATGTACCTCTAAATCACACATCGCTGTGGCGTGGTCCTTGCTAGTCAAATCACTGTTGTGTGTCCGTACCAGATCCTACCAGTCCACTTGATTATGTGTTACATGTACATGTGAGTTTCTCAGGTCTCAGTGTTCTGCATTTCTCAGCAAAGAAAAGCAACCTGACTCAAAAGTGAACACAGAAGAAAGAAACCAAACAAAAAAAATTGTTTCCTCCTCTTGTAATTAAAACTCTGCTTTTCATCACGTTCAGTAAAACAGCCTCATTCACAGGTCCAATGCATTCCTGTTCCTTCACTGCACCTGCAGACTGTGTGACATCCTGCCTCAGTTCACACAGAGATAAAGAGTCAGAATGACTGTGAGTGAGTTGCAAACTGTAATTTTAAAAAAGATTCCGCTTTCATATAATCCACTTCTTCTTTCTGAAATGTTTCTCAATACTTAATATAATGACTGTGCTCAGCATGAGACTTTTTGCATCCCATACTGCTGCAGCACATCTCTTTGAACTTAAACTGGTATAAAGGTAATTTTTCACTGTCTAAAGATGCACTTGAAAGTGTCAAGTGATGCATCAAACCAACTTTTACACCTGTCTTGTTTTTGGTGCTTAAAATAGGGAGAGTTTAAAAATATGTTGTATCTGGGATTTTTACAGTGAAACAGGTTTAATACCAACAGGCCATAACACTACTTTCTTAGTCTGTCTTATTATGTTTATAATTAACAAAATGTTACAACTTTATTGTGATATTGATGTTAACTGGCAGTAAGCTTGTGAATATTAATAATCTAATGAGGAAGGAAATGTAGTCGTTTAACAGCCTGATATCTATCTTCTGCTTACTGACCACAGAGGAAGGCTTCTTTAAAACAGCGTCCTTCTTCATTGTAAGTAGAATTGTTTATTGATGTGACTGATACTGTATATCTCCTGTGTACATTATTTTATCTCCTGACATGTTTTATTGTCTCTGAAGCCACACAGAGAGATGAGAGGAGCAGCTATGAGTTTAACTGCAGCAGCGAGTGGATTTGTCGTCTCCCTTCTCTCTGTGTCAGGTACTGAATATCTAAACTTACATTCATTGCATAAAAGGAAGAATCTGTGAAAATGTGGGTCTTGTAAAAGTAGGCTGAAGGTCACATGTGGAAATAAGTGGATCAGAATTGTGTGAAAGGCAAACTAGAAACATTGGTTTTATTTACAATTGTGGAAACTCCCCAGATTAATACATTTTTATATAGTTGTTGTTTGTGTAAATTTTAATGGATATTAGGACTCTCGTTTTTAACTTCTTTTGCTCTTTCCTTTGCATAAATTATCTGTTTGCTAAGCACTTTTACATGCTATAAATTGATAATATTGTGGGTTTCATTGGTGACTTTTTTCCTGTCACTCTTTAAAAACCTATAGTCCTGTAGGAGGAATTGTTCCATCATTACCACAGCTGTAGTTGCTTCAGTCTTTTCCTGGTTGCAATCATCTGTAAGAATTCACTATTCAGATGAAAAACCCACTCATGTAAAATATGTCTGTGCAGTTTCTACCTGAACAGCCAGAGGAGCAGGATAACCTTCAGTATGCCAGCATTCACTTCACCAACAACCAGGCAGATCCTCTCTACTCCAACATCAGACCAGCTCGCTCCCTCAGACACACGGAGCAACAAGATTTCATGGAGTACGCTGTTGTCACATTTAAGAGTAATACTGCCCCGAGGTGAGCAGCTCTTCTCACATTATCCTCACTACAATTGTTGTAGTCAAGACAACCCAAACCGAGACTATGTGAAGACCAAGACCAGAGTTTATTGAGACTGAGACAAGAACAAACTTTTAAGGGCTGAGACCAAGTCGAGACCAAGACCAGTTCCCCACATTACATGACACACAATAAAATGTGGAACGAGATCATAGGTACTTCTCAGGTTGATCTGAAAGATCCACATTCCCAGTAAAACACCCACATACAAACACTAAGAGCTGAAATCAACAAAAGCTTCTTTATTCAACACTCCTTTTCCATGTTTACCATCGCAGGAAGGGGGAACATATTTTTAAGTAGGATTATGGTTGCATTTGAAGCAATACGTTTTTTTGTAGTACTCGAGACCAAGACCGGTCTCGAGTACTACAACACTACTCACTGCAAGATTCAGATGACATAACAAATGAAATAAATGTGTTGATTTGTCATTTCCCCTGTTTTTTATATTTTAAACTCTAAAACACTGTTGGGATGTGATGGTAATTATATTTTTTCAAACAATATCTTCTTTTTTTTCAGATCCAGAGGTCAGGAACCTGGAGAGGATCCAGCTGCATTGTACAGCACAGTCAACGACCAAAACATATATTGCATTTATGATAATTCTGTTTCTTTTTTAGTTCTTTCTTTTAGTTAATATTTTTCTTGGGATATGCCTCTCCAAGACTTTACAAATGAATTATATGCCCTAGAGAAACTTACTTTGTTTTTAGAATATGTAAAGTATTTGACTGCATTCACCTGTAAATATAATTTGTCTGACTTTTTGTAACATTTAGTCTTTTCATGTAACTTTTTTTTTGAAAAATAGGTCTTATACTATCAATAAGACTGCATCATGTTACTTTTTTCCACACTGATGCAGCACAACAATTTGAACCCATGGTGTGCATCCAAGCGATGCATCAAACTGTTTCCTTCTGTTCCTGTTTAGTTTAGCATCACTGACAGACCCTAAACTATGACCACATTTACGTAAGATTTCCTTAGATAGTCTTTGTTGTTTGTTGGATGTTCTGAAGTGCCTCAAAACTAGTTTGTTACACTCTCTTAAATAGATAGACAGAAAGTTCATAGTTTGCAAAAACAACAAAGCAAGTTACTTTTTAGTGTGAACTTAAGTCTACTTGTATATTTGGTTCATTATTCATGTAAATGATGTAAAGAGGAAGGAAGTTGGGAGGATTTTACAGAGTAACGTTGTCTTTTCAAGATAACTTCCTTTCATGTTAGGTAGAAGTGTTTTTGATGCGAATGATTTACTTCTGTGGACATTATTTAGCTGCAGACATCTTTTAATGTCTCTGAAGTCACACAGCGAGACGCGAGGAGCAGATATGAGGTTAACAGCAGCAGCGAGAGGATTTGTCGTCCTTCTCCTGACTGTACCAGGTGCTGTATATCTACATTTATGTATTTACATTTAGTCAGAGCAACCTGAAGTGAGTATAAGAAAGAACATTTAATTAAATTATTCATTCTGAGATCTCCATATTCCTATATTTGACCTGTTTTATGCAGTGTGATAATTTAAAACACCTTAAAACTCTGACTGCAACACCAACATTAGCTTTTGGACTCAGTGCTTCTACTTGGATGTTAAATGTCTGTATCTGGTTTGGTAGCACATAGTGGTTTGTGGATTTAATTGGATTTTTCACATATAATCTGTGTGTGTGTGTGTGTGTACGGATAAGGCAAATCAATTTTTAAATAAATTGTGATATACCCTTGAATTACTCATAATTATTAAATATGTGATAAAGGAAAATACACTAAAATACTAATTTATGATGCAATTTATAAAGATTTACTCAGGTGGTCTCCATGTTTACTGGGAGTCTCACTTAAAACACTATTTCTATGTATTTATTCACCTTTGTATTAATTACCTTATTTATTTATTGCCCTTTATAATCTTCAACTTAATTGTTTTTCAAATGTATTTTTTAATTTTAATATTTTTGTTAATATGTTTATTATTCTTCCTTTGCATTTTCTACCCTCTTTATTATGGCATTTATTTTGTCTCCTCTTTACATTTAACTATGCATTTCTGCCTCATTACACACATTAAATAATTTTGATTTGATAATCTGTCATAATTTTCTGTAGTCCATGGCCAGTTTCAGAAAGCAGGATTACTAGAAGTATGTTAAGCCTTAGATGAGGGAAACTCTGCGTTATCAGTTTAAGAGAGCGAGATCAGAAAAAAAAACCGAGATCAGTAACTCCAGCAATTTATGCTGTAAAGCTAAGCTGCTCGGGAGAAGGTTTTCTTCAACAAATGCTGAGTTTCTCTGACTCTTCCCCTCCTGCGGAGCCTGAAGCAGCGGTCTGACGCAGCGTTTCATTTCCTCATTCATACTGTCGATACCAAAGCAGAAACTGAAAACATTCATTTGCAGAAGTTTTTGCAAACATCAAAGTCCCAGTTAGATATAGGTTCCGTACCCAAACATGATCTTCAACATGACCACTTTTATGATCAATCTGTCATCAATGTAAGGACTGAGACAGCGACATTGTGGATTCATCCTCAGCACAGATAAAATCTATACGGGCTACTCTGTCCTTCTGTGTATCACTGTGACTCTGTGGACATTAAGGCAGCAACAGTTACACTGAAACATTTAGTGGCCTACACTACTGCAGTAATCACTGTTTCAATCAAACTAATCTATATGCCTGTAGCCTAACTGATCAATGAACAATCATTTGTCATGTTTAGGGCTGTCCCTAAAGCTAAACTGAGGCTTATTTTTGACCTCTCTCTCTCCCCTCTCTCTCCCTCCCTCCCTCCTGCCATTCACCGGTCTTGTGCAGAGTTTTACGTGCATGCCGTGCTGCACGAAAAGCTGGGTCTAAAAACGATATAATATTCTTTGTGTGGTTCATCAACGGTGATAAATTATCCAAAAGTCCCGCGACAACTCGGCACAACACCGGTGAAGCTGGGGCTCCATCTTTTCCTCTTCTGCCACCACACATACAAGCTACGCCTACACATGACGACCCAGGGTTACAATTTTGGATTTATTTACGCACTTTAAAAACATTTATTGAAAGTGTTTTTCTTTACACATGTTTAGTTAAAGAATCAAACATTGAAATGTATATTGTAATTGGCTGTATATTAACTTATTGTCAGAAAACTGGTGGTTCTATGTAAAATTAAACGTTGACACTAACATATAGACAAAATTGCATGTTTCGCTGCGAAGCTTCGAATCAGGCTCCACCCATAGAAGCATTGTATCTAAATGTGAAATGAGCATAATTTTTTTACATAAAATAGGCTGGACGTCTAAAACTTACAGTCAGTTTGAACAGAGACACATTTTCAAATGCAAATGACCAAAATTATTATTACTGGGTCGGACTAATCATAGGTCCATGACTAAACTGTGTCTTATCTATATTTTCATCTTCAGTTATTGCCAGTGGTATTTTGTCCCTGTCAGGTTACAGGTGAATAAATATAATTAAAATCCAATGCAACATTACAGAAATTCAAGTCTGGTAAATGATGAATGAGCAGACTACACTGAATAAAATGTATTATTGTTAACTAAGTGACTCCTTTCATCCTGTGATTTAAGAGAAATATCATGGTCCACGTTTTGAGCATCACTGGGTTAAAATAGAGGCTTGTTTACCTGTTGCCATGGTGAATCGTCCAATCAGATCTCCATTGATGATGCTTTTTTAAATTCCCCCTGCACACACAGGGACCCTGGATCAGTTATCAGCTATATCTGATGTTATGGGGAAGGCCTTCAGTCAGCAGCCATACCACAAAGTGAATTTATTTTTTAAATTAGACGGATTTGATGACTTGATCTTTAAAAACTGACAGCTAGTCAACAATAGTTACGTCTGTGCCATCATCCCCTCCATGAGACTTCAGAGTTAGGGTGTATGATCTCCAACAAATATTTAATACAAGGTTTTAGTGAGCAAAAAGTAAATAAATGCTCCTCCGATTCCCCCCTAATGTCCTTTTCTATGTCTTAAATGAATGGACCGAAGCTGTAGCACCAACATTGATAAATATTCCTATTGTATCAATAAAAACTGAAACACCTGATAAAATACGTTATTCTTTTTCAGTTCTAGTTACAGAGATACGTTTTTGTGACACTGCTTATCCAGGATAGCTGTTCCCAAAAACACGCTGGTACCTTGATCCTCTTTGTCTTACAGGATATTACATAGAACCTACACAAGTTGTCCAGTCTTGTGCCATGGAGAGCCGACAGTCTACAGGTTTTCTCCCCTCTGCCTCTAAAAGTCTTTAAAATGACATGAAAACCTGTAGACTGTTAATTCTCCATGGCAAAGGGTTTGACTCCCAACGCAGTTTTGTACATGTGCAGTAGTTCAGTTAAGTTTTACAAAAATAAATATATGAAAATAAGTTTGTTCTCTGATGTTTTGAATCTGATTTTGGTTTCTGATGTCATCTGTTTTTCAGTGGTACAGAGTCAGAATGGCTGGGGAGTGACTTACACTCCAACTCAGATCTGTGCCTTAAAAGGATCAACAGTGGACATAAACTGTACCTACACATATCCATCCAGCTTAAATAATCATGATACCAAAGTTGAGAAAACATTCTGGTTTACGAAAGAGGGTAATAATGTTCAAGTGGATCTGAAAACGGACCCAGAGTATTCAGGTCGTGTGGAGTATATTTGTCAGAACAAACGCTGCACTCTGAGAATCACAGACCTGAGAGAGAGCGACTCAGCTGAGTACAAGTTCAGGTTCATAACAAACCAAGAAAGTGGGAAATATACTGGTTCACCTGGAGTCACTCTGTCTGTCACAGGTAACATTTTCATCTGAATATTTATCAGTTTAGTTTCATGTGTTCAACATCTTATGAAGGTTACTTGCATCTGTGTGCTTGTATGTGTTGACAGTTAGAAATGAAGATTTCTGTTATTCATGTATTCAGATCTGCAGGTGCAGGTGAGCAGATCAAAGTATTCTCCCTGGGCAGAGCTGAAGTGTCACAGCAGCTGTCGTCTACCTGGCCATCCTTCCTACATCTGGTACAAGAACGGACAGAAAATTCAGGAAGAAACATCTACATATTCAGGCCCCTTTGATCCTGCAGGCAGCTTTTCCTGTGCTGTACGAGGATATGAGAAGTCCCGCTCTCCTTCAGTGTGTGAGTTTACATCCAGTCTTCCACTGACATGACACCATCTGGTGGAGTAGTGTAACTAATGCTGTATCATGAATATATGTGTCTTTAATGGGTGACAGTAATTGTGTGTGTGTTTGTGCAGTTTAGTTCACTCAAGCTTTTTGTTTTAATTTTTAAGCACTAGTTCCACAACAATTTGAATGAGGGATACTTTCCCCCAAAATAATTATTAGCAAATAGTTAGTAAATATAAAAGAAAAAAAGGAAATCAGCTTTTACTATAAAGGTGTGTAATTGGTTCAGGAAACACCAGAAGAAACACAAAGTCTTCAGAATTTTTGTGACCACAGCAACTCTGGACAGCAGCAATAATCAAACATCTAAAAAAAAAAAGGAAATGTAATCTGTTTTTCTTTCTTTAATTTCTTCCTGAATAAATGATTCTCTTTAGGATTGAACTATCAACAACAAAAGACTGTTTTACAAAAACATTTTAAAGTTAATGTATGTTAATATCTCCTGCAGATGCTCCAAAGTTTCCCTTCGTGTCAGCGAGTCCCTCTGGTGATTTAGTGGAGGGCAGTTCAGTAAATCTGACTTGTAGCTGTGATGCTAAGCCAGCAGCTAACTATATCTGGTACAAGAGGACTAAAAATCCAGACCATGAAGATCTCAGTAAAGAATCACAGCTTGTCTTCAGCTCCATCCAGACCTCTGACTCTGGAGAGTATTACTGTGCAGCTGAGAACCAGCTGGGGAGGAGGACATCTGAATACATCTTTATTAATGTGAAATGTGAGTGAAACACAGGTTTAATGCTATTGAGAGATTAAATACACTCTAAAAATATCATCACAGTATAACATCATGTCAAGTGAACTTCTGGGATATCATCTGTCCAGTTAGGAGAATAAGTAATTGTGAATCACCTGTTTTTGGAGCGGCAACAGCAAGACAACCCCCCAAAAAATGAATGGTTTTGCACGTGGTGGCCGCAGACAGTTGTTCTCTCCTTACCCTTCCTGACTGATTGTTCTTTAGTTTTGCATTTTGTTAGCGTCCTCGTCACTACTGGTTGCATGACGCAATATCTGCAGCCCATTCAAGTTGCACAGGTAGTCCAGCTCCTCCAGGGTGGCACATCCATATGTGCCACAGCAAGAAGGTTTGCTGCGTCTCCCAGCACAGGCTTAAAAGAATGGAGGAGATACAAGGAGACCGATAATTGCACGAGGAGAGCTGGACACCGTAGACGGGACATCAACCCGGCAGCAGGGCCAGAACTGCTTCTTTGTGCGAGGAGGACCAGGAGGAGCACTGCTGAGACGTTGTCAGGAGTGCATACAGCCCCTTGGGCCATACATACTACTGAGTCACATCATGAGTTGCAGTTTAACAGTTTAATTTTTTAACTTTTAACTTTTCAATGTGTCCAGTCCTCATTCAGTAGGTGATTTTGGTTTCCACTGACCGTTAATAATATATTTTGTTCTCAACAAATTATACAGTGTACAGTAAATATTTAGAACTTCAAGATCTGATGTTTGATTTAAGTGTTCCCTTAATGTTTTTGAGAAGTATATGTCACATACTTTGATTTTTTCAGCTTGGGCTTTAGACTTTTCAATAAGAAGGCTGCAGTACAAACTGGGCTTTCTTTGAAAAAAGTGGACATTCAGTGTTTTTGGGAGTTTGACCCATATTATGGACTACAGGTCAGGATATTTCATCCTCTACTGCTTCAGTTTGATAAATTATTTAAATCTGTTTCTCGTGAGTCCCCCAACTTTGTGGAAGTGCAAAACTAAATCTCTGGAGTATCCTTTTAACTCGACAACGAAAGATTTTACCTGCCTGCTTCAAGTTTTCTGCTGTAATTCACTGAGCAGCTTCAGTACATTTAGACCACGATCAACTTTCCACATCCTGCCAAATATGCATCAACTTATGATAATCTATATTCATGTAATACAGATGCTCCAAAGCTTCCCTCTGTGTCAGTGAGTCCCTCTGCTGAGATAGTGGAGGGCAGTTCAGTGACTCTGACCTGCAGCAGTGATGCTAACCCAGCAGCTAAATACACCTGGTACAAGGAGAACCAAACACTGCATCAAGGACCAGAAGGAAGTTATTATTTCACCTCCATCAGCTCCAGGACAGAGGAATCTACTTCTGCAAGTCTGAAAACAAATATGGGCAGATAAACTCTACATCTCTATCTATAGACGTTCAGTGAAAGTTCACCTTTTTATTTCATGATCCAAGAGTAATTCTAAATCATACATGCGAGTGGAGTATGTCTCAATACATAATGTTTAATTCCTTACTAGATGCTCCAAAGCTTCCCTCTGTGGGGTTGGGTGAAGTGGAATACAGTTCAGAGTAACTGAGCTTTGCACTGCCTTATTTAAAACTCCCAGTTGTTTGCACCTCACCTGCACTAAATATTTTCAATATATATATTAAATATATATTTATTAATGTAATTTGCACTAAAATTCCAAACAAACAGGCAAAGTGAATTTCAAGTCAGAAAAATACTGCAGCTTTGTTTGCACTAATTTTTCAGAGCAGAGCTAAAGTCATTGATTCAAAATGAGCTCGCTTTACAATGACAGCCTCGATATTTAGCCAATGCAGATTTTCATTTAGAGGAGAAATTTAAGATGATGCCAGGGCGAACCAGATTTAGCCATGCACATGTGACTGAGAGAAGGTCATAGGACAGACCCTGGACACACCACAGAGGTTAAATCTTCCTGCTGGCCAGGGGGAGCTTGGGTATCCCAAAGGAGGACGTTCATACAATGTAATGAGTCTCTTAGGATGGCAAAAGATCTTCTACTATTTCAAAAGAACATACATAATACATGTGCAAAGAAAAATATTTTTGTTATATCACGCTATGTGGCCAAACATCTGAACACACTCAAATGAGTCATTTTGTCTTATTCCAGTGTTCCCAGGAGTATGGAAATCAGCAGTCTTTGGAACAACATCTGCTGTTTTCCTGGCTATCATATGGCTCTCTGTCCTCCTACTGATAGGGTGAGTAGATTTGTTTTACTGATGCATTTTACATTGAATACCAGAGTCTTGTTAGCAGCCAGGTTGGCAGATGAATTATTATTTCCTTGGTTTTTAATTCATTCTAACCAGGAAAAAGAGATCCTCCAAGCAATCATCTGAGCCTGGAGATAGACCAGACGACAGGGAACAGGATGACCTTCATTATGCCAGTTTCCACTTCTCCAATAACCAGACAGATGCTGTCTACTCCAACATCATACCAGCTGTCCCCCGAAGACACAAGGAAGAGGAGGAGGAGGAAGTTGTTGAGTACGCTGCTGTCCAATTTAACAGTGCCAGTACTGCCCCAAGGTGAGCAGCTCCTCTCACAGGAACATTATCCTCACTAAAACCTCAACATGGCATGCAGTTAATGGAGCTGATGATCAAGTATTTCATTTTAACACTTTCATTCCTGTTGCATTTGCTTGTTTTCTTTACATTTTCACTATCACTGTTTGTATTTGTGAAGGAATTTAAGGGTACTATGACCCAGGTTTCCGCAGGTCATGATAGGGTCAATTGCTGAGCTAAAGGAAGCCGAAGGTGACAGCCAGGGCCTCTCCAAAACTGTAGGCCAGACTCTGTCTCTCCTCTCTGCCTGCTTGTCGGCTGACTGATGCAGCTGAGTTGATAAGGATGCACTGTTATACATCTGTTAGGAAACCCAAGGTCAAGATTATCTTTATGTTGTTTCATTACAGACTGACTGGCTATGTAGAAAAGGACACTTATTGGGACACTTAGTGAATCTGTGTAGGTCTAGGAAGGATAAATATCAGACAGGAAGTACCTTCAGATTTGGTGTTGGCATTTCATGTGTTCACATGTTGTGTGCCGGCACTGCATCTCCTCGGCCGAGTCTCATTAAACCATGCTGTGTAAGCCTTCATCAGTCTCTTGAAACGTCTTCATCACACCTGAACCTGGCTCACAATATTTTCACAGCAGTTTGAGTTAATACTATATCTTTATCTTTTTTTCTCAGGACCAGAAGTCAGGAAACTGTGGAGGATCCAGCTGCATTGTACAGTACAGTCAACAAAAGTGCTGAACACAACCGGAACGTCTAATCTGTGCTTTCTGTCATTTTTAAATGTGCTAGGCTCTAGGGATGGCAAAGTTAGTCTGTGGTTGGTTGGGCTGTCAACTGGTCCACCACTTTGGTCCAGAGTCCAGACTGAAATAGTTCAACAACTATTTGATGGATTGCCATAAAAGTTTTTACTGACATTTATGGTTCCCAGAGGATGCATCCTACTGACTTTGGTGATCCCGACTTTAACCCTGCACCAGAACCAGGGTGTCATTTTTTTTGTGACATGTCTTGACAACTATTGGATGGAAAATGTGTTATTTGCTTCTTTGGTTTATGACCAAATAGCTGAAAAACTAATTCCCAGCATCCTCAGCTGTACTTTCTGTTTAGTGCAATTAACAAATGTTAGAAACTAACACAACTAACATGGTGAATATGATAAACATTATACCTGCTAAACAAAACTAGAACCCACTTGTAAAACCATCTCTCCATAATGCTAGTGATAAAAAAAACTCTGCAGGATACATTTTAACCTTATTAAAGATTAATTTAGACCTAGCAAACATTTTCCTAATTCTTCTACAGTATAGCTTCAGACATACTTTATCTCTGTTACTGTATCAGATATCTAATAGGAGGTAAGCTTGTAATTATATTTTTTATTTAATTGTAGTATAAAAGTTGCTATTTAAAAGCTCATTGGGAGACAGAGAAAGAGGAGAGAGGAACATGATTTAGGTAATCTAGTTGTAATTTCCTTCTGTTGTCACTAGATTGTAGTCAAGAGCCATATTTTAGATCCCATAATGTGCACGTCTCTCTTATCTGTGTAAACAGTTTATTTTCACCACATTGTTACTGTCCTCTTTTTTTACCAGTTCCATTATTACAGTTTTTAATTTCGGTGATTATTTCCGGTTATTTCCGCTCCATTATATTACATCTCATTACAGTTGTCTGTCTTGCTTCCTTTTTAATTCCTTTTTATTGTGGTCCATCTCCTTTGTTCTGTAATGTTTTGTTTTGCCTAAAATAAAAACATGAAATGCTCACAAGTCATATCTACACTGAGGCCACAAAATGGGAGTACATATTGCTTCATTTTAAGAGGTTACAAGCAAAACAGGCAGGCGCACAATGGACTGGACACTAACATGCTGGAGTTTCAGTCCAGCAGGAGAAGCTTAACAAAGTGACAACATCTGTGTGCAGCGGACAATTTCAGTCTGTCACAGTCAATAGAAGAACTGCATGTGAACTAAACTAACAGCCACAGTCCTCTGATGTAGTAAATACAAAAAGTTAAATTTGTGTTGCAAATTGTAACATCTACACGAGGACGTCATAACTCCGTCAGGACAGAACTTCACCATCACTGACATCAGACCTGAACACAAATATTACTGTGAAGCCCAGAACAAAAGAGGACGTCTTAACTTCACTTTACATTTGACTGTTGTGGCAGGTACGTTTTTCACTTCACTTACACATGTACACATCAACATCTTAATCCACCATATGATGAAAAGTGGGGAGATTAAGGTTAAAAATGCAACTTGCTGAGTAGAAACCAGTAAGGCATTTTGTCATAACACTATTTCAGCAAATTATTTTTTAATTATATGCAGGTTTAATGAAAGAGGTACATTGAGCTCATTTTGTCGTCTCTCCCATCAGTTAGACTCTGATCCTGCGTATGAGAACGTCTCAGACTTGAAGGGCGTCACTGCAGCACAGACAGAAGACACAGAGCAGCAGGAAGACATGGTGTGAAGTCCAGTCAGGTTAGAGCCTCCTGCATCAATAAAACAGGCCGACTTCAGATTTCAGACTTCAGACAAAGTAGGACAACATGGTGGTGTTAGCAGGTTGAACTGAATCATGATGACCTGTCAGCCGATAGACAGGTGATGTTTGACATGATTAAATTATGTAAGCTTATTATTTCCTGCAGAGTTTGTTATATTAGTTAGTTATGTCAGGAATGTGAGGAATAAAGTTTTTATGGAAACTGTTATTTTGAAATTATCCCTACGAAATAACTTATTAACTCATGAGGAGCTTCTGTGTGCATTTCAGCTTTTCTGCTTATTTTCCATAATATTATTTTATTTACCAGACAAATAAAATCTTGCCTTGGCTTATTGCTCACACAGTCAGTTCTTGTCACTGTGAGGATGAAATGTGCCACAGTGTAACAGATTATTATGATTTGGGATGTTGCTGATATAAAGATGCACAGACAGTTTAATGAAGAGGAATTTAACATTCATTTGAGCTCTAAATCTCAATTTAGTCCGCTTAAATTGTTTGGGGTCATTCATAGAAGCAGATCAGGTCGAGGTTCACTTAATTTGAAGCTTTTCAGAGCAAAAGCCCTTCATTAACAGCTTCTTTGAGCCTTCATTCAGCAAGTTCGTTACAGAAGTTAAAATGATGGTAAGAACAACAAACCAATAGTTTCAATAATAATCTGTCTATCACAACATCCAGCTCTTCATAATGTGTAACAGACTGCTGGACAGGACAGGTTAAAAAAAACACAAATCAACATGTTAAGAATATTTTTTTTTTTTTTGCATGAAAGAATATACCGTTAAGAATAACAGTGTAAAAGTAAAACCACTAACACCACCTGATTATCCATATCATCAGTGAGTGTATGTGTATTAACTAATGTAATACAGCTGTGAAGTAACAATATTGGTGTACTGTCAGTAAGTATCAGGAAAATATGGAATTGAGAGTATTTGTCATGCTCAAGTTTATCTTCATGGTAAAGTGAGTTTTTGAAGCCATTTTCATCAGTCAATTAGTTAAAAGTTGCATCTTACAGTTTCAGGGCTGTGTGTCTTTATAGAGCCACAATGAGCATCAACTTTCTAACTTTGGTGACTCTCAGTGATAAGCAGCAAAGAAAACACACTGTGGTGTTAGAGAGAAATGCACACCGGTAGATCTGACCTGGGGATAATGGGGTGGACAGGCTGAAAGCAACACACAGTCTAGAGCTGCAATGATTAATTGCCAACTATTAAATTTATCGCCAACTATTTTGATAATCCATTCATTGGTTTGAGTAATGTTTCAGCGTCCTGTTTCAGTTTCTGTGATGTTTCACTGCCCTCTAGTGGTGAACCTTTGTTGTGGCACATTCAGGCTTCCTCACTCTGAGAGCTCCCTCCACTGTCTGTTTCAAAGAGTCACTTCACCCAAATTACAAGAAGACATATTTTCTGTCTTACCTCCAGCAGCATCTTGTCAGATGTGCTCTGTGTTACAGTGACAGAGTCACAATGACTGTGAGTGAGAGAGCTGCAAAATGTAATTCATTGTTTCTGATCTACTTTTCTTACATGTTTCTCAATACTGAATAAACACTGAGCTCAGCACGTGACTTTTTCATCCCATACTGCTGCAGTCCATCTCTTTGAACTCATACTGGTATAAAGGTTATTTCACTGTCTAAAGATGCACTAGACGTGTCAAGTGATGCATGAAACCAACTTTCACGCCTGTCTGTTCTGTTTTCTCTTTTTGTGTCAGTAGGAAGCAGCAAACAGGTTTAATACCAACAGGCATAACAATATTTTCTTATTCTCTCTTATTAAGTTTTAGTTTGCTTTATTTTGATGTTGGTGTTAACTGGCATTTGGCTCATCATGAATATTAATAATCTAAAGAGGAAGGAAATCTAGTAGTTTAACAGCCTGATATCCGTGTTCTGCTTGCTGACACAGAGGAAGGCTTCTTTAAAGACAACGCCCTTCTTCATTGTAAGTAGAATTATTTATTGATGTGAGTGATACTGTATATCTCCTGTGTACATTATTTTATCTGCTGACATGTTTTATTGTCTCTGAAGCCACACAGAGAGATGAGAGGAGCAGCTATGAGTTTAACTGCAGCAACAAGTGGATTTGTCGTCTTCCTTCTCTCTGTGTCAGGTACTGAATATCTAAACTTATATTTATTGCATTAAAACAGGGGAAGCTGGGAAATGTAGGTCTTGTAAAAGTAGGCTGAAGGTCAGATGTGAAAATAAGTGGATCAGAATGAAGTATCAGGATCAGTTGATGAAAACAGCCAGTTTAGGGGGTATTTCCTAATTTCATTGTCCTGCTTGCGCTAATGCAAATGTATATTGAACAGTGTGAGTTCATTTTTCCAGAGCTGATGCTGCCTAAACGATGTTAGCACTATGCTGTGTTATTGTCGCATTGAATGAAGACGTGCAATGCAATTTAACGCACCAAAGCGTCGGCTTGTTCCATTATCCAACTTCTATAATTAGACAAGAAAGTGTAAACCGGAAACAGAGACTTCAAATAGTTCCTATTTGAAGCTACTTTTATCACGGTGAAGGTTTTAGAGAGATAGGCCTACTGGTCTCACACAGTGAAGTCATACTGACACAACTTCTCTCATATCTTCATCTGCAACTCCTGCTAGTTCCTTTTGTACTGTCTGACCTCAGTGTGATGTTTCTGTGCTCTGTGTTGACAGCAGCAAGGTCCAAAAATAACTTTCTTTACTGCCTGCCACTGTGACAAGCAGGTATTTTTGTCTAACACACAGAAATTGTATCTGTCAATTTAGGAATGCACCAAGATAACCTAAATGAACATTCTGCTCATTTAGGCATACTGTGATGTAAATAATGTTATCATTCAAATTTTAAACACAAAAAACATTGTGCATGTCTTTTAGTACATGACATTAATTTCACTTAACCTAAAATCACTAACAGCCTGATATTTCAAAGGCAGCCTAACACTCAGTTAAACCACCAATGAATGGGTCCTATCTCATAAAAACGTCTCTTCTGGATCCCAACAAGCAAACTAAAATACTCCTTTCAATACAAAAGTTGGCCAACGAAAATAAAACCAAGTGATGTCTCTTGTCTCTGATTGACAAGCTTATGATTCTCCATCAACACCGGAGTTCCCTCCTGTTGTCTGGCCGGTGCTGCTGGTAAGCTCACCGGCTGTCACTCAGGAGGGACTGGGCCTCTTCCACTGCTGAGTTTGGTTCAAACACCGCCACAGATATTACCTGAGCTGACTGCTCTGTGTGTCTTGTGTGTGAGGCAGGGGTGTGTACCGATCACCATAATAGGCTACACTAAACTTACTACACGTGTCTTTCTGTTGAACGTTTTCTCTGTCTGCCAACAATTTACCCTCATTCAGCGGGTGCTAAAGTCAGAGATCTTGATACCAGTTTTCTGCATCTTATGTTTAGCTGCTAGAAACTCTTCCA